TTGTTTTCATTTATTTGTTAAATTTATATCCCCCCCTTTTTTTTTCTAGGAACACACTTCCAATTTTACCATAGCAACCACCTTATGGGATAGATATAATATCTGCCACTCTGGTATATATTAGATACCTTATCGAAAGCAAAGACCCATAGTTCAGATTGTACGCTTGAACTCATACTTCCAATATTATTGTTTAGAAAAGAAATGATTTAAAGAGTAAAGTGGTGCTTGGTATGAGAGGATGCAAGAAACAAATCACTCTCTTTCCAAGCATTGAAAGCTATGTAGTCAATCAAAGTCACTGGAATATTTCAAAACAAACATAATGGAGTATTATAAAATTGATTGCTATGAAATCCCTTAATGGTTATTAACCTAGATCGATTTTTAAAATATCACATAAATTACTACAGGCTACAACTATATTGGCTGTTAATCATGATAGCTTAAACTGAAACAATCTGATTCATAGACACCGTATGTCTTAATGTCAGAGGCTGGAAACCAGGGATTCAATACCTTTATCATGGCTTATTTGTGATCTTTTTGGAACTTTTTGTTGCACCTTCCTTCCAGGCATAATAGTAACTAGTTCAATCTTTACTGGGAATACCAAAGCATTCATATTTTTTTAGGAACATGCAAATGGAGAAGAATGTTCATACAGTACATTTTATTTTTAAATCTAGAAACTCTGAATATTTGTCTGGTTGTTATTGTAGTTACAGAAAAGTACCTAGGACCTCAGTTAAAATTAGTCAGGTGTCTGCTCTGCTTCTATATATTTTCAGTATTTAACTTTGGATAGTTTTTCCCCCTACACTGTACAGTTTGTTTAGATGTACTATGGCATGTCTGTATATGCATGCACGCACACACACACACACACACACACACACACCACAGACATACTAATTAATTAGAATAATAGGCTACTGGAAAGCTTGTGAAGATCTCCATTCTGGATTAACCCTCAAAATGTGCCAGTTATTCAAAAGCAAATCCAGTTTAATCTTTTCAGATTTCTCTATTATTGTGTACTATTTGAAAGCCAGAAAGAATTCAATTTTCAGCCTTAAGGTAGCAATGCATCCCCACCTCTCTCTACCCAAATTATCAATTGCCATACCTTATAACAACAACAATAAAATAAATCATATATACCATTGTTACAGTCTAGGTCATCCCTATGAAAGAGATCTAAATTTTTAATCTAAAATCATAGAACCACTAGAAGAACAGAATCTCAAAATTACCCATCAACAACAGTCTTGCATTTGATAGAGAATGAATTATAATGGATTGTTCCCAGAAAAACAACCAACATATAAATATGATTACACCAAATATATTTTTCATACATAAGTTTTCTGTTTCAGTACTATATTGTTCAGTTGTAACAGCCCTAATTCTGACCCCTATCTTTAACTATGCCATATATGAGATTCGAAAACATCTGGTGACATGGCCTGTATTTAGATTCATTCCTGAAACTTCCCCTTTTTAAAAACTTTGTTTCCTAGAGCAGGACAAAAATGAAAATTGTTCTTAACTTTTAATTAATCCCGATAAAGGGATCCCTATAACTAAGCATTGTACTCATCTCCAGGGAAACCTACATGTATACCTTCCATTCAGATCTTCATATTTAAAGCAGTGAATGCTTGGACAATAAAATTCTAACATTATTGTGAGAGTACCGGCTATTTTTGTACAATAGGACCTAATAAACAGGAGTGCAGTTCAGCTTTAAAATTCCTAAATAAATATGTAAAAATTAGCAGCAGTTATGGAAGCTGTCTATTGAGATTTATGCTTGCATCAATTTTCTTTATTTGTTAGGAAGGTGGGTAGCTTATATCTAAGCTTATATATGTTACTTTATTAGGTCAAATAGTTGAACTGGTTACTTCAAGGGCTATGCATATTTTATCTTAAGCATTAGCAAACGAGCTTATGCCTTCCAGCATAATAGATCTGCATATACAAAATAATATCATCTATGAAAGGAAGGGCCTTTTTAATAATAAAATCAGCATTGTATAGAGAAAAGCAGTATTTAAAACAAAGAACTAAAGGGAAATTCTAATGATTTCAAAAGATGCTGCTATAAAATTCATAGAAGCATAAAGATTTATTTGTGCTAAGCAGAGTTTATTTTATTTTCCCCAAAGAGAAGCAGCTATTTGAATCAACAGACCCTGAGTTATACATCTGGTGAGGAAATACATCCCAAGTAGTAGTTGCCAATTGTGTATTGGCATTTCAAAAAAGTGTTGCATAGACTATATATAATTAGAACATACATTCACACATGCTTCACTAACTTTCTGTAAAGCCATTTGTGAAAGATAGAGAGGTACCATCAAGACAACATTTATTTATACTGGGTTTTTTTTTCCAGAATATTAATTCAACAGGAATTTGTGAAAGCATATAGGAGAATTAAAGTAGCTTTTTAGTTCTTAACAAATGTAATTTTAAAAACAGTTTGTAGATGAAATTTTGTGCATTAAAACACTGATGGATGATACATTATAATAATATTTTTTTGTGCAGTAAAACACCGATGAATAATACTTTATAATAATACTTATATATTTATGGGTAACACTATTGCTTCTTTTTCTCATATTGTTTACATAGCAATATTTTTGGATGCATTTCTTCAAAGACACATCGAGCAACACTGAGAACAGAAACAGAAAAGAATTTTACAAATAATTTATTTCCCAGGATGCTCATTCTCCATAAAATGCAGATCTCTTATTATAGAAATGCTACATTCAGCCTTCAAAACTGGTTACTGTATTGTGTGTGCATTCATGAATGAATGTGCATGCACACTACCTAAGATAGAAAGGAAAGATCTTTAGAAAGAATCAAATTCTGATAAAGCCAGTTTTGCAGAATTCTTTCTTTCTTATTTCTGCTGGAATCAATAAGAAGGAAGAACAAAAGAATATTACTCAAATATATATATATATATATATAACCAAATATATTTATATCATGTCCTAGAAAGCTATTGCTCACAATTTTCCAATTCAGACTTGTAAACTTATAAATGAGAACTATCACCTTGGATTTAGAAAAAAAAGAGGATCCTAAGATCACATGACAGATATGACAATATCTCAAGATGGAATGAATATGGAAAAAGACATTTATTTGATTTATTGGTTTACTAAAGCTTATAACAGAATAGATGACAAATCATTTGTTCTTTAAAATATTAAAATAATTTTTAATATTTAATGAATAAAAAAGAAAATTATCTTTTTTGCTTATTGATTTAAAAAAAAAATGCCCGGGAAGCAGCAGTTTATGGAACAGAATAAAATTCAAAATTAGGAACACAGCATTTTTATATTTCACCTTCTTTATTTACTTATATTCAGAGTTGTATATCATAAGAAATGTTGAACCAAGAGAAATGAAAACTATTGGGAGAAACATCAACAATCTCAGATACATTGATAGTACCACTTCAGCAAATGGAAGTGAGAAAGACTCAAGGAATCCTTTGCTGAAAGAAGAGATTGCAACACACGAATTTATAGGGATGTGTAAAATATCATTTACTTAAAATTATTACCTTTTAAAATTTATTTCAAAATACCTTGAAATAAGTAGATGTTTGCAACTTGAGTAAATGTTATGACAGATCTAGACAACATATTAAAATAGAAACATATTCAACTGATTGCAATGGTAGATTGTTATGTTTCTCAATTCTAATATATGAAAGCTAGACCACAAGGAAACCACAATATGCAAGATAGCTAGAGTTTGCTTCACTGAAGCAAGAAACAAAAGCAAAAAGATTAGCTTTGTTAAGGCATGTCCTATTATATTCCAGTCTGAACTAGTATTTGCAATGTACAGAAGAGACGTCTGTTCATGTATTACACACAGAATGAGTTTTCTTCTATCCTATCCAGTAGCTAACTTGAAAATGTTTTCCATGCATACACTTATCACCCAACTGCTATAATTGTCAGCCAAGGATGTGGAGGCAGATGTAAGTAAAGCAAAAAGATAGTATGCTTTGCAAAGCAAGTTCAAAGCGTATTTTTCAGAAGTCTAATTCTTAGTGTAAGATATACTATGTTGTATTTCAATAGCCAATTGAAATTTCACATCCGATTTACGGATAAAAAATTGGGTGAATAATATATTTAAATTTCTCCAGGAGAAAGATAAATCCTCCAATATTTTTTTAGGAGCACTTCTCTCTTTTAAAGAAAACAATAATACTGCTACAATAAAAGCCAATGGAAGAAATTCTATCATTATGCCTTTCTTCAATATTTCAAAGAAACTAAACAGGCCAGGAAGGATTCAAAGTATATCATAATAAAAAAAAATCACCCTCCCTCCCTTGACAATTGGTTACTAAATAAGAACAAGAATAATGGACCTCAGAGAATTTCTCCAATTTCTTTTTCCTGTTTGGAGTTTCTAAAGGAAATTTTCTTTCCTCAAAATGATTTTTGGGTTTGTCAGAAAGATTTAAAAAGTCACTGGAATCTTATTGATGAAGTACCAGTTATCTCAATTTCTACTGCTCATATCATATGATTAGATCATTATATGATTAGATCATATGATTAATTTAAAAGGGTTGTGATTCATCTCATGCCCACAAATTATTAGAATAGAAAATGCATTGGAAGGCTAATGACTGTAGCAACTGTCTTCCAAGCTTGGAGATGGTTTTAAAACATTTTCATCAATCATACTAATATGTGTTTAAGCAAGTTAATCAGAGGCTATTAAAATAGTTTTAATGTCAAATTTACATCCCAATTAATATACAACTCCTAAAATTTATAGCCTATGCATGAAGACTGAGGAGTAAATTGGGGAAAAATACATTGAAGTTTCACACAAAATATATATATCCCTTCTGGTTCTTTTGTAAGCTTAGACATGAAATGTGGCATACAAAGTCCCTCTGCCCTGTATATCGTCTTCAAAAAAAATAAAATATTTACCGTAAGACTGCAAAACAAAACATTGGAAAAGGTCTTTAAAGATATAAATTCATTGTTATATAAATGAACTGTTTTGTCACCTTGTAGAAATAACAGGCAGTAATACCAGTTTGTTTTTGCAGCAGTCCTACTTCACCAGCAGGGAAAATGCAGAACTGGAGGATAATAATTCAATACCTGTTTATTCATCCAGAAAAGTATATGTGTATGGGTGTGTGCATGTGCATGCACTTATTATATCTTGTACTATTAAAATTAATTTGAAGCTAAATCATGCAGTGAAAACCTAGTGCCACTGTTAACTCCTACATATTAAAAGACACAGTATTACTTGACAGAAGAAAAAAAAGTAAGATTCTGTAAAAAGGCAATTTATAAAGTATTATATTTACTATCTACTATTTTAGGATGCTGCTATATTAGGCAATAGTTTGTAATATTGCACACTATCGGTGTAAGATCTCAGCAACCAGTTAATGTAACAATTTAATCTATAGGATTATTATTATAAATATTGCAAATATAAAATATGTTTTTGAATATAATTAAATCATAATTTCCTGCAAATATTCATAGAAAATATTTTTAAATGTCCAGCACAGTTTAATAGATTGCATTTCAGGAAAAGTATCTTTAAACTGTTTCTCCCCGGGCTTGTAATCATCCCATATTCAAAAATAATCCTGAACAAGTAGTTATCAAAAACAGAATATTGTTACAAAAACAAGACTCATATCTCTAATTCCCTTTAATGTGTAGCAGTCATGTGGAGAATAACAATGTTTTTTCACCTAACACATCACAAAATTTATATAAAACAATGACATAACCAGAGGTCTTTTGTTTTTGATAATTTTAAATACTTAATATTTGTCCCTGAATCATATTATTTTCCAATGCAAAATGCTCTTTTGGATAGAGAGATAGAATCCAAATGGAAAACCTATAGTTCACTTAACCCACGAGGAACAAAGAGCAAAATTTCCAACTATAGAAAAGGAAATTGGCTCCTTCCTTTAAATAAGGGATACCAACCACAGGTCACTGTCCATTAATGGGTCACGACCCATTGGGAACCAGACACAAAGCGGCAAACGAGAGTGCAAAGCTTCATTTGTGCATGCATGGGATTTAGGTTGCATGCACAGAACCATTCTCCCACCACAAAAATCATCTAAGCCACTGGCACTAGTCCACAGAACCAAAAATGTTGGGTATCCCTGCTTTAAATGGATAGCAAAGACTGTTCTTTTCTGATAGTTTTGCCTAATTTGAAAGAAAATTGTCCGTATTAGGAGCAGCCACAGCTGTGTGCTTGGTTATAAAGAACCCTAGCTTCTAAGCATATGTAATAAAAAAATTAGTGATCTGTTTGAACATTGGATCACAAATTTTGGGACTATTGAGGTAATAAATCATTGAGAAAGTTGTGTGTGACATACGTATGGCTCAAAACGCATGCAACAAAAAAATAATAGATGGTAAAATTCAGAACTGGAGATTTCAGAATACTGCACATAACTTCCCAATTCTACATTCGCTAGAATGACAAATATAGCTAAACTTTGCATTTAGCTAGTGATCACCCCATGTAGATTTCTTTGAGGATAACATTTGTAATACTATTCTAATAATCAACTAATATATTTTTTAAAAAAAATCTGGGCTCCCAAGTGAAATCTCAAACCCGGTATTAGCTCTTGGAACTAATGCAACTCTCCCATTTCAATTCTTGCTTAAGTTAATCTTTCTTAGTGAACAGAAGCATTACATTATATGGACTGATTATCCAGGAAATAACATTTCCTGGCATTTCTATATCTTTAATATAGCTTTGGCAGACTAGAAAAGCTACAAAGCTCAGAAATTCTGGCATTCAGAATAAATTATATGAGCTCCAGAAATACAAATGAAAACTATAACTATATTACCTAGCTGATTGTAGCCAACAAATATATTCAAATTCTATCTAAATAGAGATCATCACATTTTAAATGAAGCCATTTTGAAATAAACCAAGAGAAAAGCCATATTTTATCTTTAATATTTATCAATACTAAAGGTTGAAAGCACAGCACTTAATTTTACTTGCAAGTCACACTGTAACTTATAATTCTAGCTTCTATATCTACATGCATGAAAGTTATATGTGACAACTGGTTAGGAAAATTACACAGCAACTGAAATTCTATTATACATAGATTTCCCTTTGCCAAGACTTATCTTGGAATTGAAAAGATACTTGAAGTCTGACCCTGATTCATTGAATTTGAACTTGGTCAAACTTTGGAAGTTGCATAAGTTCACATCCATATATGACACCTGCTGACATTAATAGCAATGGTAGATTTGAATGCCATTACTCAAATCCTTCTGGAAAATGGAAGGCAATTGAAAATAAATCTTTCTCTGTGCACTTGGATTTTCTAGCAGTCTGTTTCACAATATATATGTTCTATGCATTTTAGGGAGATTGTTTTTCTTCTCAGTAGCAGAATATGTAACAACTATTAAACTCAGCTTCACTTAATTATACTGGCTTTCTTCTGAAGCACCAAATTAATCTTAAGTGTTATAAGAAAAGCAATTAGCTTGCATAACTTTTCTAACAATACTTCTCATGTTTCATTGCTAAATCTGAACTCCAGTCCTTGGGAGGATATTGGATAAATTCTAATAACTGAATGATTTCATGTTACAGTCCTCAAATTGTAGGTGGCTGGCAAAGCTACTATACATGCATCGTATATCTCTATTAACAGTGAGAGTTTAGTAAAAATTTATCAGATTTTCATTACTAATATTATCCCTATTTCAAGCTGTACTTGTACAGTGGATTTCTTCTCTTGTGCTAGGGTGAACTAGAGAGACAAATAATCAAGACTGTCATTTTCCTGCAAAGTTGAATTACAGGAAGGGAATTTTTATGTAAGATTAAATAAATGACCAGTGTAATACTTATTGTGTCCTCTAATGGGAGAAGACAGTTCTGTAAGATTTAGTATGGAGAGCCACAGTTTTTCCTCATTTTTGACATCCAGCTACAACTTGTAGCAATTTATCATTGTCACAGTCAGGAGAAAATAGGTAGGGGAACACAAACAAATGAAGAAATGAAGACAAACACTAATTGCTAATTTTGTCTACAGCAAGCCATTAATTGGCATATGGCTAGCAAATTATAGTCTACCATGTCCCTTTACATTCAATAGAAAGATGTCAAAAGTATCAGTTTTCAGAAGAGGCTTCTGATAAATTATTTTCACACATCAGAACCAAATAATTTGGGCTATATTTGTGTGTTTATTTGTGTGTGTGTGTGTGTGTGTGTGTGTGTGTGTTTAAAGTCCTTTGATTTACATAAAGTAAATTTATATTTTTATAATCAAACAACAAACTCATACATTATAAAAACTGGCAGATTTCTAACAATAAAATATCATAAGATCAATATTAAAAACCAACATCTCCATACATCTTTTTAAATAAAACAAATCTGCCAGCCATATCTTTGAAGTTAAATGATGATCATCACAATGAAGAACTACCTTTTGACCATATTTCCTCCCCCATTTTTAGTGCCTTTGAGATAACTATTGACTCCTGGTGGCTGCCTGAACACATTCCTTCAATTTTCTTGCAAGGTTTTCAGAAGTAGCTTGCCATTACCTTCTTCCTAGGGCTGAGGGAGAAGGACTGGACTAAGATCAACCAGTGGCTTTCTCCCAATTTCTAGCCTGATGCCTCAATCACTGCACAAAAGTGGTTCTCACTCACGTACCATAATTATTGTTATATAGGCACATGCTGGGCAGCTTCAGCTTGCAGAAGAAAGTTTCCTGGAGCCAAAATCATTATAGCCCATTTCCCCAAGCAACCTGCCACAAAAATGTTTGAATGTGACTTTAAAATTTATTAGTAAGCAGTGCAGCAACCAGAGAATCAGTGTTAAATTACAATAGCAGCTCTCACCTACAAACATCCTGTACAGTATCTTTTGAATGAGCTGCAGTTTCTGGATAATTTTCAAAGGCAGTCCCATGTAGATAACATTACTGCAGTCTAAGTGAGAGATGATGAGGGAATGAATCATTATTGCCAGGTCAGGAAGAGAAAAACCTCATCCAAAGCTATCACCAGATCTGACACTGAGCCAAGATATTTAACTTGCTAGAATTTAATTTGAGCTTACCTCTCTTAGAATTGTTTCTTCTCCTGATAAGAAGTCTAGCTCCATTTCTAAAATAATGAACAAGTTCAGACTGTCCTGCTTTTGCAAGACACATTTACATTAAAAAAAAGAGGAGGGAGGGAGGGAGGGAGGGAGGGAGGGAAGGAAGGAAGGAAGGAAGGAAGGAAGGAAGGAAGGAAGGAAGGAAGGAAGGAATTGCAAATTACAGACACTATTTTCTACAGCATTTCTAGGGTACGATACTGAGAATACATCACCAAATGATTTTCCGATGTTCTTCTAAGGTCTGGGATCTCAATCATTTAAATTATGATTACAGATAGTCCTATAATGTCCTATAAAATATTACAACATATACAACCACAATTGAGCCTAAAATTTCTGTTGCCAAGCAACACAGTTGTTAAGTGAGTTTTGCCCCATTTTATGATCCTTTCTTGCCAGTGTTGTTAAGTGAATCATTGCAGATGTTAAATTAATAACATGGTTGTTCAGTGAATCTAAATTCCCCATTGACTTTGCTTATGTTTGCTAATTTGCATATATAAATTACTAAATGATTACAAAACAATATAACCAAAGTCAAACAGCAATATAAGAAGCATTTGCCTTTTAAATATCAAATAGTAGATATGAATTATCATAGAAGTCAATCCTTTGTAAACATTTCCTAGATATCTAAGCACCTTTACTTTTATTAATCTGCTCAGAATTTTTATATTTTTTTATAAATAATTGATGAAATTGCCCAATTTTACCATTTCAAAGGATTTTTTTTGCATATCCAGCCATTGTGTTGTTTTCCTTCAGTGTCT